ACGCGATTCTGTTGCCTTGCCGTCTCCTTGGGATGTCACCGCAGATGACACAGACATATGCGCGTCTTTTCGCCACTTGGTGTACTGGATTCATGCGCTGCCACCGCTGGACGCCACCCACCCCCAGCAGTTCGTTTGCTGCGAAGGCTACACCATTGCTGGAGTCCGTCGCGAGGACAACATAATTTGTTGGGGATCTGCACCGGCAAGCACCAAGCAGATGCACGGCACACAGGACTTGGTTCTGCAATCAATTCAGAGGCTGCTGCGCCGCTTACCGCGCGCAACTGACCTTTGGAGTTCCATCGGAGCGCTGGAAACCCCAGAAAGCCCGCTGTCCTGACCTGTATGCAAAAGATGCAAATGCCCAGCTGGGTCGATTGGTCGGTTGTGGAAGTTCACCGCATTAAGGCTGGCTTGCATAAATTCAGAGACGCAAGAGCCACCTAATCTTGATCTACGGTCCCTCAGAAAGTTGCGCAAAGACAGAGATCGGCTATTTCTAGGCTGCCCACCAGGTGAGGGCAGCTTTTCCGGAAGACAGCAAGACGCGCTCTGTCTCAGGGATCCGACGATAATCAGAAGAGCAAGAGAGAGACCGGCCGCAGAGGAGTTATGTAGGGAAGTCGCACAAGATCGAGTGTCCGGAAACATCACTCATCATCGGCGCACAGCGACAGACAGACCAACACCACTTCACGACAGCCGCATCGTGCCGCCCCACAACGAAAACCTGCTTAACATGAGTTCGCCACGCGTCGCCCCTGCCCCTGTACAGAAGACCAGAAAGACCCAAGAGGCTCCCTTATCCTGCAGCCTGCTGCGAAGAGCCTTGAGGTTTGGGTTTAGTTCAGGGTACAGCATGACTTGACAAAAGGCAGTGTTGTGATGGAGGCCGCAATCGGGTGCACCTGATAGAGTGCGAGACTCGTAGGAGCCATTCTTGCGGTCGAGCTGCCCATGTCAATCTGGAAGCTGCTGCTAGTAGGCAGTGCTATTGAGTGTTCATCGGTTCCGGTGTTGTGCGCAGGCCTCTCTTCAACTTCTTGCTGGGGTATGCTTCTGCCACGAAGCAGCCAGAAGTGGCCGCTTGTCAAAATCGATCTGACCCTTCAAAATGGCCATCCGACGGTATCGGAGCACGAGAACAGGGAGCTTGCATTTTGGGGCTCAGGTGTCCGAGCTGTACTGGGCCTTGGTCTGCCTTTGTCACCAGCCAAACGGTTGCCGCCTGAGGGGCACGAGCAGGGACCAGACGAATGTGACCTTGATGGCTGTGGACGCTGGTTGCTGCTGCTGCTGCATCCAAGCACTTCTTCTCTGACCCAAGCTCAAAACCCGACAAGCATGCTGAGGTGGCGAGGCCTTCAAGGCGGCCCGCAGCTGACCTCAGCATCCATGGAGACTTCTGCGGTGTGAGCGCGTTGAACAATTTGGAGATGGATTGCACCACCCATGGCACTCGTCTACAGTCATAAAGACAGGTTGCTAGTTCGATAAGTTTCAGAAGGACTTCTATAAGCAGACTCGCCCTGCAACGTGATGTACGCAACTAATATGAGCGGGCGAATAGTAATACTGCAACGGTACTATGCGTAGACAGTCATCCATCGATCCACCCATCCATCCATCCATCCAACCAACCATTAATCCATCCATCCATTCTGTAGATAGACCCTTAGCTTCGCTTAGGTTTGGCTAGATTAGACAGGTTAGATAGATAACAAAGAAACATTACTAGATAAGCTAAGAGAAGCAAAGCGAAGATAGATAGATAGATGGATAGATGGATACTTGATAGATAGACAGATAAATAGATAGACGGATAGATGGCTAGATGGATAGATTCGGATAGATATGTGGATAGATAGGCAGATTGACAGATAGACTTAGCTGGAAAGAAAGGATTGTTATATATATATATATATACTTACATGCATACATACATACATACATACATACATACACACACACACACACACGCACAGATGTGCGATGCTAGTGTGGTGCTCAGGCTTGGCTTTGTTGGAAGCGCTACAAGCAGGTGGAGACTCAGGGAGCACTTCGCATCAGTTCGCATCGAGTTGCAATTCCCAGAGATTTGGGACTTGGGTGCCCTGTGCATGGGTTTCACGACTCGGAGTGCCCTGCTGGACTTGCTTTCTGCTTAGAACTTATGCATCGGCCCACGTAGATCCTCTTGGACCATCCAGGCGACGACAACTTCCTCCAGGACTGCAGGCGCGCATGAGGTAAGTAGCTGGCCACCATGTACTGCAATATTCATCTGTAGTAAAGCAGTTGCTAAGAATCGCTGGCGGTTGGTGAATGGGATTGCCGGATGGCCTGACCAGTGGCTTCTGCTGCCAGAAAACTCTGGGCTCATCTGTGGCGCGGCAAGCTCGCCATATTCAAGTCCGATACATGTGATTGACCATCATGCAGTTGTAACAGTTAACAATCCATTTCGAACCAGCGGGAGCCACAAATTCGTACCAGCTAAGGCTATTCGCATCATGAGTGCCGCCACTAGTCCCCCCTGCCACATTCTCAAAGCATGCTGCGGCACGCTTCAATCAGCCGCTGCGTCGGGTTGCAACGAACGCCAACACCTTCCAGGCAGGGGTCCACTCAGCGCTCGACATGGGTTGCTGGAACTGTTGGGGTGTTTCGGATGTATTGAGTACAACGGCATTTTGAACGACTTTGTGCCCTATTCGGAGTGGGGCACACAGCTGTTAAGCAGAGAGAACCCGAAAGACCAAGCACCGCCGGCGAATGGCTTTGAGCTTCATACTTCTAAGTGGCAGTGGTGCGAAAACATTACCTCTGCGCGTGGGAATTGCGGCCTCTGTGACTCCAGACTGAGGGCTACTCGTAGAGAATAAGGCACCTCGGTCAAGAAAAATCCAACAGCAAGTCAAGAAGGGTCGTGGATGTCAAAAATCATGACTGGCCAGGGTGCTTCAGCATCAGCGTTTTCCTGCGCAGCGTGAACAGGCTACTTGTTTGCTACAGATGCACATGTTGTTGCGTGGCCCAGACCAGCCTGCCTCCTTGCTGACGATATGCCTGATAGCATGCATGTCTAGGCCTGAGTCATATATCTGTGTACATATGCACAGAACATACACGCAATAGCCACACAAGTATATGCAATACATGAACAGCACATATACATACATACATACATA